TTTCACGATGTATACCTTGTTATATACAAATAAAATAAAGAAATGATGTTTACCTACTTTAAAAAAAAAAAAAAAAAAAAATTATATTTATATAGATATTTATTTTTGAAGGTAACAAAAATACTAGATATGATTTTTTCAAACCTAGCTTTTAAACAATACATATATAATATAAATTTTAGATTATATCAGAAAATTTCCAATTCACTTTCAAAAATAATTACCTGTATACAATATATTATATTTTAATATTAAACATATAGTATAATTATAAATTACTTTTTAAATAAAAACCATAAAATATATCTCACTTTAATATATAAATAAATATATATATATTTGTTTAAAAATATGGTTTTTTTCAAATTTGATTTTAAATAAAATAAAATTAATATTATTTGAATTATAAGATTTGAATTTAATGAAATAAAAGTTATAATTTAAAATTTTAAATATATTTTTTATAAATATTAGTTATATGTCAGGTTAAATAGAACATATAAAAAGATTGCTGGAGACAATTTTTTGATAAATAATACTAATTATATAAAAATTGGTTTATTAAAAGCTTAGGTTATTAACTAATAATTAGCAACATATAATTTTATCTCAAATACTTGATAATAATATTATATTTAATTCAAAAAAAATAATCAAAAAAACTATTTTATTTAGCTTTTAAACTTCAAAAAATTATAATTAACCATTTTTTCCAAAAGATAATTATGTTATATTGGTTTCAAGTTACTAATATAATAAAACTTATAATTCATTATTCTTATTTAATAATGTGAATCCAGGTTACATTCAATACTCAAGTCATAATTTCTTTCCTATTATTATCATATCAAGTAAATACATATATGTTAATAATAACATAACTAGTAGCTATCTATTATTATTTTTTTTTTCTCTATTTTGATTGATTTACTTTTTTAAAGATCATTAATGTAATGAAAATGAAAAAAAGTTAAATAAAATCCACGCATATAATTGTCAAAAAAAAAAAAGATGATATTTGTATAAAATTTTTTAAATTTAAATCTTTATCATTTTCAAAAAAAACCCCCTTTTTTCAATAGATAAATATTAAATTTGATTGACTCAAAATTGCGTTATCTGGTAATGACCTTAGTAATCTGCAAATGACATAGTCATTATAGTGAAGCATCGATTCTAATCTTTTAAAAACTTATACATATATGTATTTAGATTTGATCTCGCGAGAATTTTTAGACCACAGTGAGATGCATACTGTTCAAAATTTATTTCACTAGATTTATATTTAATAATCAAAGTTAAATAGTAAATAAGTGTCATCTGTAATATATAGAGTAAATTTCTAACGACGATAATAATGTCGTTTGAAATGGAAATGTAGCTGCAAGACTCCGCGATCAAAGCTGGATTTAAATCCCTTTTTATGCGAATACTCCCATTCACGGTTGACAATGCGGAATGCAATATCCTATAAGGTTGAAGAAGTCAACATCGAACAAAAAATAGCGAGATTGACCAAGAAATAAAAAGAAATATCACCTCATACGGAGGGCCTGCAATAAAGCGGATCAATACAGTATCACTATTTCCAGATTCTCTTTCTATCTTATACGTTGGTGCTTTAGTCTTATCAATCAAGTCTGGATAAAATATGTTAAACTTATATCCTTGAACAACTTTTGGCGGAGGATTATCGCTGTCGTAATGAGTTTGATTGTATTTATTCCATTCATATCCAGTATGGACACGATTGAAGTAACGAGGTTTACGTGGACGATATTTGTCTTGCCATAGGTACGTCTATATAAGTTTTCTGATGATGAGTGCGCGAATATAAAAATAAATTATGCGGGTAAAATTTAAGTCACTCACAGTCTTAGCCAACTCTTCCTCAATGTTAAAGATAGCTTCATCCTCGTCCAGATCTTTGGCGGCCTCTCGTTCATACAATACCTTGGAAACCTATGCATAATTCTGAGTTAGAAATCAAATACCTTGAATATTTCTATATAAATCAAACATTTACCATTGATTCTTCTTCGTCTTCAGGAGCTGGTTTCTTTGGCTGAACCTTCATAGGTATGAATTGGTTACGTAATACCTCCCTACGCCTCTCCTTCTGCATGTTCCAAAAAAAAAAAAATCTTTTTGAATATTGAATATTCCGCATGGAACCAATATCTGCAACTCAATGTAGTAATAACGTACAAGTTTTTTCAGGTCTTCTTTTGGATCAATAATCTCATATTGCTTATCTTCTCTGGATAATCTTTCTATAGGTCTCGGACTCATTGACCTATCGTATTCTTCCACCATAGGTTCAGGAGTTTTCACTACATCATCTTCAGTCGAGTATTCTTGTCCCGTGTAATCATGGTAAATGTTGTGCGAAGCAAGCGCAGACTCTAATTCTTCTTGTACTTTAATGGCTTCTTGCCTTTGCTTCTTGCGAAGCTGTTCAAGTCTCTTGCGCAACACAATCTCATGCATTGCTTTTAATTTTGCCTGATGCATGTAGTTATAGGGTAAATACACGACGGTAAACAAATGTTAATTATTGTACGTAAATAAATATATCACCTTTGCTTTCCATACGGTCAGTGCTTTCAACTGTTGCTCCCAAAATTCAACTTCAACAGGTTCATTACCCGATAGTTTATTTTGAATTTGGATTTGAAGTTTGTTAAGTTGCTCGTAAGTCTTTCCCGCCATCATATTATTAATTTCATCCTTGACGGGGGCAATAACATTTGCGGCAACATTTTTTTCGTCTTCTTGAAGTTCGGAGAGCTTATCCTCACATACGACTATCATGGCCTTTGAAAGAAAAAAAATATAATAATTAAGATCATAGGACCAAATGAATTTGTAAAAGATGATAGGTAATACGGAAGTTTTCTTTACCCTCCAAAAATCAAGGTTATTTGGGTTTTTTTCGAGGCTTAAATATTTTTGAATGTCTTGGTGCAGTTCTTCCACCTCTTGCAATGTGAGATTCTAACAAGTTCATAATCTATTGGCATAAAGATTACTCGTAAATGTTAAAAAAACTTTTCATTATTAGTCAGGGCATACCTCAAAGATAGTGTAGGGCTCGTCCACGTCGATTTCCAGAGCTTCGTCGACTTCGTCACTTTCATCCGCCAAACGTAAATTAATAGCAAGAATATCGATCGGTTTTGCTCGACTTTCCTTGATTCGTATTTCAGCACGCTTTTTAGCTTGTTCAAGATGGAACTGTTGATAAGAGAATTATTAGTATGAGGCAAAATTAGATAGGAATTCCTGGGAAACCTCCATCATACTTCATCTTCTTTCGACGCCCAATCTCCTAGCGTAGCATTTTCAGCTTCGCGTTGCATGCGTGCCTGTTATTAATCAAGTTAGCACAGAATAAAATTATTTTGTATGTATTTAAAAGGATTCTTCATACAAGTTCTTCCTCCCTCAATTGCCGTTCCTTTTCGCGTTCGGATCTTCTTTTGTTTAATTTTTCGAGTTCAAGCTTTAATGTAAAAAAATATTTAAATTATTAACATGTCCAGACAATGCGAAATGTTTTTTTTTTGAAGTAAACTTCATGCCTGCGTTTCTTCGCGACGTTCTTTTTCCCTGCGAATAGCTTCTTCCGGTGATATTCCTAATTTTCTTTCCCGATCCTTTTTTTTGGTCCAGTCAAATTTTTCTCCAAGATTTATATCGTTAAATGGATTATCAGCATTTGAATAAGCTGATAGCTCAATATATGATAATTTATCCGATATTGTCTCGCTCTCCTGTTTCGAATAAATATTCCTTCGTTCAGGTTTCTTTTTCACAATTATGTAACCAGATTTCACGAAAACAACGAATCATGATCTACCTTTCCCGAATGCTTCGATTCTTTCTTTTTCTCTTTTTTTGATTTCTTTGAAGACTTTTTGTGTTTCTTGGAATCATCCTTTTCTTTCTCCTCTATCGTGTTTCTTCGGTGACCGTCATATCTTATATCGTGACTATTACTTCTACTTCTCCTTCGACGGTCGTCATCAGTTTCTCTGCGATCACTTTTTCCGCTTTCTCTTTGATAATCGTATTCATAATATCTTTTTCCTGTTTTTGTTACATCATTGTCCCTTCTTGAGTCAACATTATAATATTCCTTATCGATTTTTTCTTTTTTTATTCTGTCTCTAATTTCTCCATCTTCGAACTTTATTTTGTGTTCCGATCGCCTCTCTTCAGAATGCTCGATTGACGAAGAACGTCTATTATAAGTCTTTGATGACGCGAACCTCTTTTTCCGAATATTAGTGTCGTCGTCTTCATCTAGGGCACTATGACTTCTGCGTTTTGAGGACATGATTATTTTGAAGAATCTTTAATTTTTCGGACTATCATGATTTTGTTTTAACTGATTACGTAATCCATTATCGTACGCCAGTATCATGATTAACATTTGTGCACACCATTCGAGAGCATACTTTTTTTTATTTTTAAAACTGTTAGGAGTATGACTTCTTGAAAAACTCGACAGCAATGATTTCCAAATAGTTAATGCTAAAATGGTATCACCACCAAAGTACTTTACAACGACCTTATTTTTCTTCCAAAGTAATAGTGCACGTGATATTCCTTTTCTCTGTCACCTTCAAAATTTATCTTTATACCGAAAGGCAAAACGAACAAATTCCCCCAGCATAAGCTTAAACAGATAAAAGGTCGCGATTGATCATCTTCGATGGGTCTGTTGTCAACAACAAGACAAAGTAGCACCCGTTTGTAATCAAATGATAATAAAGTGCAAATCCTTTTGCCTAGATATTTTCCGTCGATGCATTTATTTTTGTTAAATTTCCATATCTGATTTGGATGAAGAGCGTCGAGAGAATTAGATGAAATAAGAATGTCGTTGCGTTGAAGATGTAATGTTCATGTACCATTATTTCCTATTTGTCGCGATAATTCCTTGCGAGTTCATCGTTGACAATAACAAGAATTAATCGGTTCCATCGCTTGCAAGTTCTTCGTAGCTTGAAGAGAGCGCGAAATCTATTCATTATTTTATCAAAAAAAAAATTATTATTGGACGTATGATTAGAATGAACAAACAATCGCTTTCAATTACCGCGTACAATCGCGTATAATCGCGTGTCAATAAAATAAATTTAAAACATCCTACTTTGATTCTTTGAACACGTGTCCAAGAATTTTGATGGCAATTTCATTTGGAAGATGATTCATCTTTGATCGAGGTACTGTATCCGAGAAACCAAAGCCTTGATCTAAGTGCGACGATACCTATATGATTGTCGTCATATGACATCATCTTTTTAAAGTTGATGGATAATAATCGGAGTTTACGTCTATACTCTCTAAAATCTTTAAAAAGTCAATTATTGTTAACACCACGTTCCTTTATATTTGTGGAAGGGACGCGTGCTATTCGCGAAATGGAACTAATCTAAGGATTACACATACCATCAACTCTTGAAATTCAAAAGATCACGCGTCACATTCATAATAATCCATTTGCCCCATAAGTAGAAATCAACTAATTAAATTCTATATGTGACATCGAATGCCCATTTATATTTATCAATAATTAACTTTAATCTATTTTTATTATTATACAAATATTTTATGATTTGACAAGGGATTTATTAGTTGGTTATTCATGATATCGATCTTATCATATTCCTTGAATTCGGTTATCTTTGAAATATAGAATAACACCTACAAAATAAAGAACTTTGGATTCTTTTTTCAAAATACTGACGTTCGAAATATTTTTAATATGGAATGTTCGAAAATTTTAAACAGGTGATGTTCGAAATCTTTTTAACATACAAAATATTCGAAGAATTTTTTAAAAATACGAAATTATCAAATCTTTCTTGACGCACGAATAGTTTTTTTTTTACACACGGAGATTCGAATATGGAATGAACGAATAAAATTCCTTTAAATGTTCATTTTTTTTTTGGTTTTCAGAATAGCTATGATACACGAGAAAAATATGTTACTGCTATCGACGATTTTTTTCTAACTAGTGCGGTGCAAAGGAATAAATTAGATGAATATAGATAATATAATAAATATGGTCACAAGTTACGCGAACAACTTGGATTAGAAGGGTATAATTATTTTAAATAGAATAGGAGGGTAGATATTAGAATAAGATCAGGTTTCACTTTACGTTAAGACCTGAATATAACAAACATCTAATTTCATAGTCGACGACATGAAAAAAAATTACATTAAACGAGTTCTTCATCCTGACAAGGATAAAGGGTCATAATTAAATTCGTAAAAATATATGGTTATTTCTGATCAACAGAAAATCGAAAATAGACACAATGCTGTATCATGGTGATATCTATGCACATGTCTATTCTAGTTCCATGGAAACATGTTCGGGTAGCCAATACATTTCCACAATATTCTCGGACTTCACAACCTTATTATGCCTGTTTGCGTACTTCTCCACAGATGATATATACGTTTTCTGCCTGAAACAATTGAACACAAAAGAGTTTATGGATCCAGGACAAAGATTTAAAAATTCGTCCCATGTGGTAAGTTCGAATCTGATACCACACAGTTCCAATTTTTTCAAACTTGGTGGTATTACTGCTCCCAGTTCTAGCAGCGGCTTCTTCATTTCTATCAAAATCCATTTTCTTGGAATTATTAACTCCAATATCTGGGTACAATGATTGACCAACATGATCAACTGTCGCATTTCACGGTCGCTTTCTATGACGACGCTCAATTTCGAAAGTTTTGGACAGTTGGCTGATATGGTGTCCAATACATCAGTGTACAATGAAAGTTTCACATTAAGGATAATTTCCTTTAGCGAATCTTTGGAATTCACTATTATAGACTGTATCTCGGTGGTTGGTGGATCTGGGCCTGGATCGTTGTCGATGTGTAATGTGTGCAGATTTTTAAATTCTATTTGTGCCAAAGGTCTCATTAATTTTGTTCCAAGATTTTTGCATTGTTCAAATTTCATGGTTTCCAAGTTATAACACTGAGCCAGTCTATCAAAGTAATGTTTGCTTTTTTCGGATTTAGGAAATTTGCATCTGATAAACTCGATGTGTCGAAGAGTTTTTGCCTGCGTGGCAATACACGTTAAGTCCCATTCACCTTTCCAATTAGATAGTGTGAATTTTTGTAACCTTCGCTGATTCCAAATAAAATCTGCCAAAAATTTCGGCGTGGTGTCAGCAGAATCTTCAAGAGAAATTGACTCGAGGTCCCTGCAAAGTCCTGTTAATTTGGATATAATTTTATTCTTGGAGAATTTGCCGCCACATACGAACTCTCGAAGATCGCATAAAGAATTATATTGTTCCGAAGAGCAGGGCCAAGACATGAATTCGATTCTGTTACTATCTGCATCGTGCTCGAAATTTCTAATGTCGAGCGAGAGAATATCAACTCGGGCTGATCCGTTGGTAAACAGCTTCCCAAGTTCTTTTATTAGACAATTCGCTTGTTCAATCTGTTTGTTCTTCACTTCCAGATCAAAAGGTTCATGCAATGACTTATGCCGGATCCAGATGCGTACCGCCCGATAAATCTTTCTAAAGTCGATGTGTCTTAAGAGTAACACATAATCTATGAATGGTTGTCGGTGCGATGAGTCCAACGATATATCGATGTTGTGAGAATTCTTAAGATAGTCTCTAGTTTTCTGAGAGAAGAACATGAAATATGTTGCAATTAGTTTCGCGGAACTCATCACTGAGGCTATCTCAAATGGTCTCTTCCACATTATCGGAACAGCACTCGCACACCAAGACTTGTTGACAAGAATGCATGAATGTAGCTTCCTTGCATCATGGCTGCCGACGTAATTGAAAATTTCGTGAAGAGTTTCAGGCGGCAGATAAGGCGCTTCAAGCATTGAAGTCGATGGATTGTGTTGGTACCGAACGTTGTTATTCTTACGATTAATGTTTGAATTACCCGAGTTCCTCTGTGAAGAACAGTTCTCAGCCATTGTAATGACGTAAGGAATGTAAAATTAGGAAAAAACAAGATAAAACGGGTGCAACTAATTCATGTACCTCGTACAAGCGCACTATAAAGCAAATTTGGTATCAACTATCGGTGGCTTTTCGAGAAGGATTGGTCACAAGGTTTTAAGAGAAAAAAGAAAAAGTTGAATTCACGCAATTACGGGATTTCTTTTGAACTTCATTCCTTCGTTTCCCGGGACTCCTCCTAATTTCCTGCTCAATTCTTAAGATTTATAACTGCGTAAGAGGAATTCTGGCAGAACAATGACTAGTGACGCTTGATCTTTTTAAGAAGCAACGCCCAGAGGTTACGTACACATTAAACTTAGCCTTTTCCACTAATATTAACGCGTGTAACCAATATGAATAGATCTAGTTTAGCTTGGTTCATTTTTCGTACATGTTTGGTATACTCTGCGGCACAATAGATCAATGCAGCAAGTGTGTAACATAATAAACCTCGTGAATATTCAAAAAATTCAAAATTACGATTATGAATGAACATGGTGCAACGTAAGTATGCCTATCAAATTTGTTTCAGTATATACGTGGCAACCTGTTTCCACAATCTCTCGATACATACCGGCGCCAGAAAGATTTGATCAGGATTCACAAGAAAAAAAAAATCTTTTTTTTTTTAATCAAAAAGGATACCGATTACCCATACTACAAACAATGTCGCATGAGCGTCGTGAATTTGAACAAGATAATCAAAATGTTGACGAAACGACTATTTTGTTTCGTAATGATAATTTCTCTGGGAACGCCATCCCTCTAAACGATTGTATCAGCGGAGACAGATTTGACTTCAGAGAAGCTCTGTTCCTTCTCAACCAAGCTGCACCAGCTCTCTTGGCATTTTTATTGCAATATTTTTTACAAGTTGCAAGCGTGTTAACCTTAGGACATTTGGTAGGATAAAGTCTTTGAAAAATATTCTCATAAAATTCGACAAAGTATTTATAATATTACATAATCGATTAAACAAAGGGATCGATTGAACTGGCGGCTTTAACATTAGGTTCCATGGTAATTAGAAGCCACAATCTACAAACATGATTTATTTTTTTTTTTTTAAGCCACTGTAAAACTTTGTGTTAACTCACATGACTCCGCACACTTGTACCAAAATCCTAAGTATGCATCAATTACATGTTGGTCGATTTGCTATGGAACCATCACGGCATTAGATACGTTATGTCCGCAAGGTTATACATCTGGAAACCCGAAGATGGTTGGTGTATACACACAACGTTCCATCCTGATTATGATGCTAGAATTCATACCAATTGGAATAATATGGTGGGTGGCAGAAGATGTTTTGATTTCTTTAGGTCAAGAAATAGAGCTTTCAAAGTTGGCCGCGTTGTATTTGCGTTATTCTTTATGGGGTGTTCCACCTTGTCTCATTTTTTGGTGTTTAGAAAAATTCTTGCAAGGACAAGGTCAGATGCTTACACAATACTGAAAATCGTGGATTCTCGTAAAAGATCATCGTCATTCACGTGCCCTCTATTGATTAGGCATAATGAAAGCTACAACTCAAGTTCTACTGATTTGCTGTCCAGCGAACTTGATTCTAAATTACGTGCTTGTTTGGTGGGAACCAATAGCGCTTGGCTTCGTAGGCGCTCCCATAGCAACTTCAATTACAAACTGGCTAATGCTTCTTCTCACCATCATATACATAAAATACATTGACGGACATGAAGCATGGCAAGGGTGGTCTCGTACTAGTCTTGAAGACTGGTCATCGTTTGGAAAGCTTGCTTTCCCTGGTATACTTACGTCGTGCGCTGATTGGTGGATTTATGAAATAATTGCTTTGGTGGCTGGGTTTCTTGGAGGAGTTCCACTTGCGGCTCACCGGCTTATTCTCACAATAGCACTGCTGATGTTTCAGCTGCCTCGTAGTGTGGCGGTGGCATCGTCAAATAGAGTCGGAAATCTGTTGGGAGCTGGGTTACCCAACCGTGCAAAGATTACCACGAATGTGGCATTTATTCTTGCCGCCAATGGAGCTGCTTGCAATGCTATTTTATTGCTTTTCTTCAAGGATTCCTGGGGGTACAGTTATTCATTCTTTTACATCTCATGCGTTTCTTTTTTAAAATCAATTTGATTCCATGGAATCTCTCAATTTGTTAGGTATTTGTTTTCGAACGATAAAGAGGTTGTGGAATTGGTAGCAAAGATATTGCCACTCGCAGCTTTATTTCAGGTATTTGATTTACTTCCCCATATTATACTGTATATGTTCTATGTGATTCCTCTTAACATTGTTGCACCGCAAAAAAAAGTTATCAGATGGAATAGGAGCGATTGGTAGTGGCATTCTTCGCGGACAAGGACGCCAAAAGGTAGTAGCAGCGATCTACCTATCCGCTTACTACTTGATTGCCCTTCCGTTGGGTCTCATATTAGCATTTAAGTTCAATTCTGGGTTGAGTGGACTTTGGTGGAGTGTGACCTGTGCTTCTATAAACATGGGAATAGGAATATTTATAGCCGTCTCTGTAACCGATTGGAATTTAGAGGTTAACAATTGTCTGGAAAGGATGAATATTAGTTTAAGAGATGAAGAAGTTGACGTTGAATAATGCTCGAAAATTATGTGTTATTGATGAAGTTATAAAGGACTATGTTACAGTAGTAATAATGTAAATTTATATAGATTGTTTGTTTACTTATTGAAATTTTAATTTAGTATTTGTAATAGAATAGACTAATAACTAATAATAATCCTCGTAATAATAATTATAATACATGAAGCTATATGAAATTTTCAAATTTTCAAATCAAACTACTTAGGAAACCTCAACAAATTTCTTATATGATCCTTTGAATAACCCTTCTGTTTGGAAGCCCAACCCACGAACTTCACGACTCCTTCATGTTCTAATAACATTTCCAGAGTATTATACTTCAATGCTAGCTGATCGTTCGAAATCATTTTATGTATTGCACTATGACAGGGCCTACAAATATCAATACCTCTGGTTGTGCATTCTTCTTTAGTAAACAATCCCTTCTTAAGAACTCTCTTATGCATCATTCTAGGAATTAGATGGTGAAATGTCAATGGCATATGACGATGACATAAAGTACAAGTCCCGGGCTCATGTTCTTCTTCCTCTTCTTCGTTTTCTTCGAGTTCCTCTGCTTCATAATCTTCGTCTTGAGAGACTAATGAAGTTTCAGCGGATGCGGAAGGATTACTCACAGATTTCCACTTGACGACTATATCCTTGCAAATTTCCAAACATTGTTCTTCGTCATTACAAACTTCAAATGTGATGAAATCATCCTTGACTATTTCAAAGATTCTTGTGATGATTTCTTGTTCGGTTAATGTCGATGAATTCTCCTTAGAGTTCCTCCCAGTTTCATTCCCATTTTTGACCTTGCTGTCATCTAAAATTCCCAAGTCCCAAACTTGTTCCGAGAGATATTCTACAAAGTCTTCTTCTTCCAGTGCAATTATGTTTGGATTGTGATCACATATAACTTGATAGAATGTCGCACGAAACAGAACCTGCTTTCTTAGTCTCTTTTTAATTTGGGATCCGGTAGAATTCTTGACTTTTGATTTTGGCTTGAGATTTCGAGGGGCAAAAGTCGCACGCATTTCTCCTTATAGATAATAATATAATAAAAATAAGATTGGAAGTTATGTTCGAGGTGGATTAATTTTCACAAAACCTATAATTGTGCATTGTTCATCAAAAATGTTGCATACATGAAGAAAATTGCGTCACTTAAACGGAGGCGTAACCTGACGCAGTCAACTTTGGTCACGAGATGGCATCTAAATATTCATTAATTTCTTGGCTCTTTTTTCTTTTAGATAAATACGTTATTATCATACGGAAAACCTAACAGACCGGTAAATTATAACTTATTTGTTACATCTATAAACAAATTAACATATTCTTGCATGACTTGAAACGATAACTGCCATAACCAGTAGAAAGAACCCTTCTTCTTCATTTGAACGAAGATAACGTTTATGATAGAATAGCTAGAATCCTCATCTATTACTACACGCTCAAACATTATTCTTGACGTGTCTTAATTAAAATTAACGCGACACAAACAGATGTCCAAAGTTATGCACGTAAAAAATATGATAAGCCCAATGTGGGTATGCAATGTATACGCGAGTCCCTGTTTCATTATTCCTGATCGACGCACTTTTTTTTTTTATATTTTATCAGTAACAGTGAAACTGGCAAATTTGATTTGAAAAAAAATATTTTTTTTCTACCGAAATACCAAAAAAATAATAAACATTAGATTGAAATACGGTATATGTGTGGCGAAAAATTTGAAATTTGAAATATAAAAAAAAACTTTTTTTTATCTGAGTTAATTACAGTATATTATTAAAGTAATATGTATACTGTGTATTTATATTTTAAACTTAAGCATTATATAATATATGTCACCATTATTGTATATTATTGAATTAGTATATACATATACAGTAATTTATTTTAATTTTTAAAAAATATAAATTAAAATAAGCAAATAGTAGTTTATATATTTTAAAGGTGCATTAAGTAAGTAGATACATGTATATAATATTTATTGATTTACTATAAAAAAAATTGTATACAATATATACTGTATATACATGTATAAAATGGATTGTTACATTAATTTATATATCAAGATATTTTTTTCAAAATTATACAACTTTTTGAATACAATTTTTTCAAGTAATATATAAATATGTTATAATGTTATAAATAATATATGCATATTATAAAACTTTGAAATTTCAAATATATAAATATCAGTATATTTTGAAATATACTATATATATACAGTGTGAGTCATAAATTTTTGGAATTGTGTTTTTTTAATATAATTTTTTTAATAACTATTTAAATATTATAAAAATTTATAGAAATATTTTTGAAATCATATAGT